AAAAGTTGGACAATCAAATCTCAAGGACTCTAAATAGGCTTGTCAAAACAGGACAAATATCAAAACAAGATCAATGGAGAATGAAATCCAATGGACCAACAATTCCACGATTCTACGGTAGGCCAAAACTCCACAAACCTAACATCCCACTACGTCCTATTGTATCCCTCCCCGGAACCCCGACCTACAACTTATCAAGAGAGATCTCAAGGATATTAAAACATCTGGTGGATGAATCCAACTACTCCATTAAGTCGGCCACAGAATTCTTGGATAAACTCAAGAGGATTCAAATTGACAACGACGAAATGATGATATCCTTCGACGTAACAGCCTTATTTACCTCAATAGAACCAAGCTTAGCCAAAGAAACTCTTTCTCTGCTCCTCACCAACGACACAAATCTACACAAATATACAAAACTTCAGAGTCAAAGTTTGCTTGAACTCATCGACCTATGCTTAACAACATATCTTCAGTTCAACAACAGAGTCTACGAACAAATAAAAGGAACACCAATGGGATCACCAATATCAGGACTCATCGCCGAAGCGGTAATGCAGAGACTGGAAGCGTCGATTCTGCCAGTGATCAAGCCAAAAATGTGGGTTCGCTATGTAGACGACACATTCGTTATTATCAAAAGGAATGAGCTGGAGAACATCTACAATCAGATCAACAACGTCTTTGAGGACATCAAATTCACGATGGAAAAGGAATCAAACAACAGCCTATCATTCCTGGATGTACTAATCACCAGAACTAACACAAGAAAACTAGAAACTCAAGTATTTCGGAAGCCAACCCACACCGACGTAATTCTCAACTACGACAGCAACAACCCAAGAACCCACAAAATCAACTGCATACAAACTCTGTTCAAGAGAGCGAAGACACACTGCAGCACATACGAAACATTAAAAAACGAGGAAAAACATCTGAGGACTATCTTCCAAAAGAACGGCTATCCACGCAACTTCATCAAAAAACATCAACCAAAACTATCATCAGGAGTGAAATCAAGCACAGGAACAAATAAACGCATCATCCTACCATACATCAAAGACATATCAGAGCATACGGCACGACTACTGAAACCATTTGGAATAGGTGTGGCACACAAACCAACGGAATCACTTCAGTCAATCCTATGTAGACCAAAGGACAAAATGACAAAGGAAGAAAAACCAAATATCATCTACAAAATAAATTGCTCAAACTGTGAAAAACACTACATAGGACAAAGTGGACGACCTCTTCAGCTCCGTTTACGTGAACATCAATTAGCAGTCAAACGCCACGACAACGCTTCGCTTATCTCAATACATACCGACAATTATGGACATACATTCGATTGGGACAATATGGAAATACTGGGTAGGGGGAGGACAAAGAACACTAGAGAATTTTTAGAAGCTTGGCACTCAGGTCAATTAGCAATCAACAAACACATCGACATTGACCCAATTTATCAACCAAGCAGGAGAATCATAGGTGACACTGGATCAAGAAACAGATCAAAAGAGGGAGGCAATCAAAACATAGTTGCAAACAACGACAGGTCAAAGGTCAACAACAACCAATCAAGATCGAGGTTAGCAGAACAAGCTACAGGTCAAACGTGGAGAAATTCGAATGCTTCACTTCTATCTGAAGTTTGTGCTGATGATGTTGTTCAGAAGAACAATGAAAGCTCCACAACCAAAACAACCAGCTCAGAGAACGAAACACCACCACAATAGTTTAGATTACACATTTTTGAAACCATGAATCGATCAATGTTAGACCACCATTAGAAACCTGGAAACTCTGAAAGACGTTTCGTCCTGATATGGGACGAATCAGAATTGCGCATCCACGACTCCTGCTCCTCCCAGGATACGAACCCAGAACCTTCGGTATTGTGCGCGAACGCCTAACCATCGGACCACTGAGCCGGTATCTAACGGTATTAATGTCTAACTTGATCAATTCACGGAGTTGCGCAACCTCATACACAGTCTTCGGTAGTTACTGTCTACACCCGAACAGGTTGGACTTCACTGGTCACGTCTTCCTACTAGAACTCGGAGAATATTCCTCTCCAGGCTAGTCAATAGTGAGCACAGGTAATTTGTATTACGGGGTTGTGAAGATTGTTAAGTTACACATTTTTGAAACCATGAATCGATCAATGTTAGACCACCATTAGAAACCTGGAAGCACTGAAAGACGGCCGTTTCGTCCTGATATGGGACTCATCAGCAGTGAGCATCCACGACTACTGCACCCAAACATACCAGACCATAATCACATCATAGAATGAATGAGAAAATACATGAGTAGGCCAAAAGTAGTTGTAAACAGGGTAGAATGTACAATAGATTAGAAATAACAAATCAGACAACCGTCGATAATGAGTTAATCGGAAGACTATAAAAAAAGGAATACAAATATATCAGAAAGAAACGTTGAGAGTGGATAGGACGTGAAGTGGAGAAAGCACCGAACTGTGTGACAAGACAAGCCCTCACTCGGAATACTCAAGATCAAAGGAAAAGAAGAAGGCCAAAGAACACATTACGCCGAGAAATGGAGACCGATATGAGAAGAATAAACAACAATTGAACAGAACTAGAAATGAAGGCCAAGGACAATGTTGGATGGAGAATGCTGGTTGGTGGCCTATGCTCCAGTGGAACAAACTTAATAAACAGAAAGATAAAGGTGATAAAGAATTCAGATTGGCATATGAGAGAACACAAAGAATTGATGCATCTGCGCCATTGCAAACGATTTTCTTTCATGTCATTCAAAGTCTCTAGTCATCGGTTACTGTTGTCTCGTGATCGTCAACCTAGTAGTCCACATATACCGAAATGGCTCATTCCAGTTGTCAGTGACTTGATGCATTTGTGCCATGTTTCGGTCTGGCATATATATATAATAATCTTTAAATCAGTCCTAGATGTTCCCGTCTCTCTAACCTTCTTCCAAATGTAGTGAAAGACTATACAAACATTTAGCAAACATAAATTTATTGAAACCATATATCGATCATTAGCAACCTGAAAGCATTAAATGCCTGTTACGTCCTAAAGTAGGGAATTACTTATCAGCAATGCGCATACACGATTTCTAGGTGCGGAGATACAACCCAGGGACCTCCGGTTACGCGTACGTATGCTCAACTTCGAGATCACTGAGCTAGCATTCCATGGTGTTATTGTTGAACTTCAATTGATCCATGGCTAAATATTTTAACTAATGATGAACTGTAGGAGAGCAGATCAAACATCTGATGGAATCACTATGCAACAGTAGATTGGATGATTTCCACAATTATTCTTATTAATTTAGTTTATAGTAGTACCTCACATGGATTTGAATTTGTTCACACCTTAATTGGTCAAACCCTTTTGATTAACTTACTTAACAGACAGAGTCATTCGTATTGCAATTACTTATGTGTACCGTTCGTTGTGCTTTTATTATACTGTAAGAGCAGGTATGATTGAACATTGCCTACCACCTACGTGCATATTCATTCTACTCGCTCTAATGTTAATCTCTCAAATAATCCAATGACTCATTCATTTTCCAATGTTTACGAGTACATTTTAATCCTGTTTCATTGACTCGCTAGCTCTTCGTCACTCGCATATCATTTTCGTTTCATGTGCATGTAATTTTGTGTGTTCTGTGTTTGGTGCAATAATAAACGTAATCAAAGCTTCACATTCGTTTTCTGAATTGTATACACCGTTAGGCGTTATCTAGTTACCACTTATCAGGACGAGCAGTATACCAAGTTTAAAAATATTTATCGTACCACAGAATTATTGATGAAGCGACATTCACCACAAGTTAACAGAAATTAAACACAGACAGACAGACAGATACAACGCAGAACTTCGTACGTACGTACATCAGTTCAGGTTGCTATGCCCCATCAGCACAGAGACGCAACTGTCAGTTCAAATCCGAAAGTAACAGCAATAATAGAAGTATTAGCAGTAATGGAGAAGATTAGGGAGCGAAGATATGATTCAAGAAGTATAATTCAGTGAGATAAATTTAGAAGGAGAAAGGTAGAGATTATGAGGAATTTAGAAGGTTAGAATTTCATAGAACACAAAGAGTGGATGCACCTGCACCATTGTAAACGATTTTGAGCCATGTCGTTCAAGGTCTCTAACCATTGATGGCTTCGATCTCGCGAACCACAACCAGGTAGCCTACATCTACATGGCTCTAGCTTTCTTTCAACCTACTCCTACACTACAAAACATAGCCTGTCGCGGAAGTCGGTGATTAGGCAAACGTAACACATGTCCCAACCACATCAACTGATAAAGTTTCACTACTTCATCTATTAATTTGCCATCCCTATCTAGAACTTGTTTCCTAACGATAGCATTGCTTACTCGGTCGTCTCAGGATACACCGATGATCGAAGACTAGTAGCTTACGAATGTCGTCTACTCTTAACTGCCATGTCTCACATCCGTATAGTAGGACAGAGCGAACTGCTGCGCAGTACACTCGTCCTTTGGTCAGCAAACGGATATCTCGCCTACGCCATAAGTGACGCAGGTTGGCAAAAGCCAATCGAGCCTTCTGTATCCGTGCTGAGATTTCGTCAGTCACCAGGCCATCGGCACTGATGAGACTCCCCACATAAGTGAAGCGGTTTGCACGTTCAACTACTTCACTCTTTATCACTAGTTCACGTGCCGATGAAACCCAGCCTTGAAGCAACATTTTGCATTTCGAGGGTGAGAACCGCATCCCGAACATGCTTGCATTGCTGCTTAGGGTGGTCAGAAGACTCTGCATTTTGTCAGCGTCGAGCGAGCCTCCTGATAACAGGTCTACTCCTGAAAATTCAGACGAGGATAAGGTAACTTCTCAAAATTAAACACAATGAATATCAAATCATAAAGAGAAAAAAAACAGGTCACAATAATAACAACAAAAGACAAAACTACATTTTTTTGTTTTATTCATCACTGACTGACCTGATCTTTTTAACCAGTCCAATAATAGCTGATTAGTTAATCGACAAATAAGACTTGAACCACGTGCTTTTGGTTGAATTGCAGTTACATCACCCGATCGTCCAATTCCATGAGTAAATCTACATATATTTATTTGAAAGAAAACAATAATATTGTGAACTATCCCATCTTTCCATAGAAAACTTATACATGTTTTTTTGGTGGATACTATTCACAACGTGGCTTATAAGTAGTCTACTGTAGAGTGTTTACCCAGAGTCAGTCAGTCAGTCAAATGCAACGTAGAACTTCGTACGTAAGTAAATCAGTTCATATTGCCATACCACATCAGCACAGAGATATAATTGTCAATTCAAATCCAATAGTAGTCGAGCCAGTAAAGGTATTAGAAGTAATCGGAGAGGTTAGGATTACAAGATATTATTCAAGAAGTATGATTCATTGAGAAAAGTTTAGAAAGACAAGAAGTAGAATCTAGTGAAATAAACTTAGAAAGATAGAAACAAAGTGATGAAGAATCCAGAAGATTAGGATTTGAGAGAACACAGAGAATAAATGCACCGGCACCATTGCAGACGGTTTTAAGCCATATCATTCAGGGTCGCTAACCATCGACTAATATCACCTCGCTGTCAATGACTTCATGGATTTCTGCCATGTTTTCGTCTGGCCGCTCCTTGCTTTCTTCCAACCTACTACTACACCGCAAAATATAGCTGGACGAGGCAGTCGGTGGTTAGGCATACGTACCACATGTCCAAACCACCTCAACTGATGAAGTTTCAATATTTCATCTATTGATCTGCCATCCTTACCTAGCACCCGATTCCTAATAACAGCGTCGCTCAAACGGGTGTCCCAGGATATACGAGCAATGCTTGGAAGACACCTATGATCAAAAACCAGTAACCTACGAATATCTTCTACTCTCACTGGTCATGTTTCACAACCATAAAGTAAGACGGAGCGAACCACTGCGCAGTACACTCGTCCTTTAGTCAGCAAACGGATATCTCGCCTACGCCATAAGTGACGCAGGTTGGCAAAAGCCAATCGAGCCTTCTGTGTAGCCCAGAGGTTATTATCAAAGAGAAGAATGCCGGATCGCAATGCATGGTGCGATCGAAGTGTTTTGATGATAAAAGACAATCAAAAATCTGCTCATTTTGGAAATGTAAGTCTGAAGATTAGGTGTATTTATTTTGTTAGCAAACTGTGTTTGCCCTAAATATATAACACTATTATATCTGAGTCTTGAAGTCTTCATTCATTGCATCCGTTTCACAAAGCGTGTGAAGATGTCGACTCGGCAGTTAAGTGAATAACAACTCTGGGATGAGTTGGCCGATGAATTTCATTCAAATAGGATAAAACACACGTATCAGTGATTTCACTGTTAGTGGCATTTCATCTGTTTTACTAGACAAGTATAAGTAATGGATGTACACATCTAAAATTATTGTAGGACAATTAGATATATATTATTATGTTTTTAAAACAGAATAAATTGTTATATGATTTAGAATTGTAGTTTATCAGCTGAACATTGAATATCTACACCACAATGGGATATTTGATGCCAGATCGTAGCTGCTATAATGACGTGGTGGTTGAGGTTGACTACTGTGATAACCTAACCCGGTTATATTGGCTGCAACATACATTTGTTTAGGTCCTATCGTGACAGGAAGGTCGATTGGAGAAGGGTAAGACTAAAAACAGAAACTTCAGTTCTGAGACTGAAGTCGTACTGCCGACTGCACAGGAGTGTGACAGCATCAAGGTATTTCCCTTGGACAGCCAGCATCTGCAGCGATGCTGCCTTCTCACAACAGAAGGAAGGAATTAGAAGAGGTCGACCCCAAACATGCTACACCTCACTTCACCCAACGAATTTATATCTCCGGTGGTGAGGCCTTTCGAAGAGCAGAGCTAACACTTCAAAAACTTCCCATAGAAGGGTCATGCTCGACCGGCCTCAAGTAGTTAACCCTTGGGCTCTACAGTCACGTTCGCACGTCGCTAAGACCAACACTGACCTAACTTCCTTTTCAGATTCCACAAAACAACGTCCTACCACAGTGTGAGCAGCTAGGAAGTGACATCCGCCCTCATATTTGTAACAGCACACGAGACCAAATCAGTCACAATCGAATCCTTCTTTTGGACGTCCGACTATAGTTGTATTCCTTGACCTAAAGACATCTGATTCTGTTGATCGTGGGGTTCTCTGGCAGTGTTTATCATTGTACCAACGAAGTACATTCACCACTTAAAATAGAGAGTGAAGTAGTTGAGCATATCGACTGCTTCATTTATCTCGAGTCTTCTTTGTCCTGGTGCACTGGTACCTGACGGAATATCGGAACGGACACAGAAGGCCTGACTAGCTATCGCCAAATTGTGGTGTATGTGAGATATCCTTCAGCTAATTAAAAGATGAGTTTACTTCGTAGTAATTCCCTCCGTCCTGCTATATGGGTGTGAAACATGGCCAGTAAGAATGGAAGATATTCGTGGATCGCAAGTATTTGATCACAGGTGCCTCAGAAGCATTGCTCGTAAATCCTGGGATCATCGACTAAGCAATGCTGTTGTCTGGAAAAAGTTATCAAGTAAGGGTTATAAATAAATTGATAAAGTAGTGAAACTTCATCAGTCCAGGTGGTCGGGACAGGTATTGCGCACGCCCAATCACCGATTACCTAGACAAGCAATGTTGTCTGATGTAGGAGTAGTCTGGAAGAGAACTAGGGGCGGTCAAACCAAAACACTGAACGAATCCATAAAGTCACTGACAAGTGAAATAAGCCATGTCGGCGGTATATGTAGACAATCGTAGTGAAGCTGAAAAAGAAAAGAAAGCGATAGTCAAGATACATTCAAAACAACTCACCCATAATGACGACGACGTATAAAATCCACAAGTACACGTCCTTCTCGTTCTCCAACACCGACAGAATTCTCCCAATTATTTGAATCGAATGATGATATTTGAAGAAGTAATGCTTCAATGTCTGTTTCAGAAAAGCCAATAGTTGGAAGACGTCCCTGAATAACAATTCAAATTAGTAAAGAATACATTTAATATAGGACCAGTGTAGCAGTAGCCTCTGCAGCAGTAGGTCTCAACATGCATAAACGAAAAAGCAAAATTCTCCGATGCAACAAAACATGCACCAACCAAATCACTCTTGATCGAGATGCATTGCAGGACGCTAAGACCTTTACATATCTGGGCAGCATAATCGACAACCAAGGTGGATCCGATGCAGATGTGAGTTCACGGATTGGCAAAGCGAGGGCTGCATTTCTACAGTTGAAAAATATCTGGAACTCCAAACAACTTTCAACCAAAACCAAAATCAGGATTTTCAATACAAATGTGAAGACATTTCTACTGTATGGAGCGGAAACTTGGAGAACTACCAAAGCCATCATCCGCAAGATACAAGTATTCATTAACAGTTGTCTACGCAAAATACTTCGTATTCGTTGGCCAGACACCGTCAGCAACAACGAACTGTGGGAGAGAACAAGTCAGATACCAGTGGAAGAGGAAATCAGGAAGAAGCGGTGGAAGTGGATAGGACACACACTACGAAAAGCGCCGAACTGCGTCACGAGACAAGCCCTCACATGGAACCCTGAAGGTAAAAGGAAAGGAGTAAGACCAAGAAACACATTAAGCTGAGAAACAGAGAAAGATATGAGAGGAATGAACAAACATTGGACAGAACTGGAGAGGGAAACCGAGGACAGAGTTGGTTGGAGAAAAATGGTGGGCGGCCTATCCTCCATTGGGGGTAACAGGCGTAAGTAAGTAAGTAAGTACATTTAATATAGAGGAATGGAGAACGATTGCACAATAAATAAAAAGCTATGAAACCATTTAGCGCAATACTACATGAGCCTATGATGAAATTTCTTTTTAAAAAACCTTTCAACCAATCACGAAATCATTATTATAACTAATTTCAATCTTGAATTATAAATGACTACTTAAGACATTGTGACATATATAGCTAGACAATGTGTTCTAGTTAAGTTGATTAGAATATTAACAGATATATGATTCAAAGTTAAGCTGTGAAAATTCTCACTATTTTCAGAAATTGGCTTTATTTTATCTATCGAAACACATAAACACTAGTACAAAAAGGCATTTATGTGATACACAAATTATGTGACTTTTGCATGGGATGGGATATTGCCCTAAGGCCTAAGTCGAAGCAGATCGTTCTCGTACAGGACCATTCCCCCAGCATTCGGTTCAACAGTGGAGTAACATAGGAAGGTGTAGTCTCATAATAGCCCGTCACCGACAACAGGTTCACATGCTATTTGTCCCATCAGCATCCTGAAGCCTATGTGGATCACCGGTTACGAATGAGGGTTTTCTAACTACACTAAATTGATGCTCTGTACCTACTCACCCGAATGACACGGTAGAATGTGACTAGACTAGCACGATTTATGCAAACGATCGATTTCACAAGACAGTTATTTTTACTTGCCCACAATGTTTTTCTCAATATCACTACCGCTCACACTCAATCAATCAATCAATCAATCAATCAATAGCAAAGTAGAACTTCGTACGTAGGTACATCAGTTCATGATGCCATACCACATTAGCACAGAGATGTAATCTTCAATTCAAATCCAATAGTAGTAGAGGTATTAGAGGAATTAGAAGTAGTCGGAGAGGTTAGGATTAGAAGATATTATTCAAGAAGTAGAATCTAGTGAAATAGACTTAGAAAGATAGAGACAAAGTGATGAAGAATTAAAAAGTTTAGGATTTGAGAAAACACAAAGAATAAGTGCACCGGCGCCATGGCAAACGGTTTTGAGCCATGTCATTCAAGGTCGATAACCATCGATTACTAAAATCTCGCGGACCCCAACCAGGTAGTCAAAAACTACCAACATGACTCAGTCCACTTGTCAGTGACTTCATGGATTTCTGCCATGTTTTGGTTTGGCTGCCCCTAGCTCTCATCCAACCTATTCCTACACTGCAAAAAATCGCTCGACGAGGCAATTTTCGCTCCACTCACACTAGCAATTAACTTTACAAAGACACTTACAACCAAATTCAGTCATAATATACAACTCACTTGATCTAGTACAGCGGTCAGCTTCTTTTTCTTTCTACTTGATCTTTCTCGCCATCTTTTAACATATGAATCACCAATATATTTTTTTGCAAGATGCAGAATATCGTCTTCCATTGGTACACAAAAAAGAAACTGTTCAAATGTGTATCGAACAGGAGTTTGGTGGTATTCAGGAGAACAGTTTAAAGTGTGAGTTATAGAATCTGAAAAATTCAGAATGTATAAACGTTAAAATTTTAAATAACATAAAAGCATGATGATTTCGCCAGTGATTTAGCAACATCACACGAAAGATGTTTTTCTAGTGACAAATCTACTCATATTACCATGATCAACTAAAGCAACAAAATATCTTTATAAAGAAAGCGATTAGATAAGTAGAGTTATAATTATCGAATACACGACAATTACAGCATTCATTACCACTATCTGAACTAGAGTAATTATTAGGGAATAATAATCACTTTATTAAATATCAGAGATGATCAGAGACAATAAATTAGCCCAACACCTAAAGTAGCTCGAAATCTGTTATATAAACCTATGCCAACTTCACCAATATGATCAACGGCAATGAATATCACGTTGTAAAACAAAACTGTAGTACAGACTGCATGCTACTACGTCAATCGTAATGTTTTTGAGCAAAATAAGTACCTACCTAAATGATGCTCTTTACACACTGGATAGATTGAAATAGGAAACTTTAGCAGTTCATAATTGATGTCCCAAAAACGAGGTTATAAATAAAAAATGACCCAACATAAGTTCCTTACGATCAACTAATTTGTTTAAAAACAACAAACCAACTCAGTATTTCTGTAGAACGCCAGCACTAATCTGATAACAACATATGACCTTTTCATTTAAAAGTCCTACTTCCTAGGTGTTTAGTAATACAGGGACAACTTCTGTTTGGTACGATAGATTCTTGGCTGGAAGATGGGCCTTTCTTTTACTCCACAAGTAGTGGAAGCTATTGAGGGCCAATCGCACCAGGACTGAAGAGCATTTCAGGACAGGTGAACAAATCAACTCTAACTGTTTTAACTTGTGTTTAAACAAGGTTTGGACCTGGTCTGCATTGGAAGGAACAGTTTGCACAAGAAGAGAAATGTAATCCCAAACATTCTTAAACCGTCACTCAATGTACTCGGTAAACTTGATTTTGTCAGGGTTTTCATCAAACAAAGCTGTCATCTAAGCACTTGGAGTCAGCAAATGAGTCTTTGGTGGTTTCTAACCAATTACATAAGAATCAAAACTGTCTGAAATATTGATAAGCACTATTTGACCTAATCACTTCGCGAGGTAGTTAGTCACACGCTTAAAACTGACATATAATAATGGCTTGAGAAAGAGCTTTCAATACGTTCGCGTACCTCTTCATGAATCTAGACAGACAAGATATGTTTACTAACGGATATCATATTAAAATAAACTTAAAATATTATTTTGCTTATCAAAATGAATGGAATATCTAAAAAAGTTATGAAAGCAGTTTTATACACTAAACGTAGCCCATGCTAGGTGATAGAGAACCTAAGACATGTGTACACCACCATAATCAGCTACATACAGACAACTCCCGCGACAGTTAAGATTGACACTACTGGTCAGCTAACCAAACCTGCCTAGTACCCTGAGAGTGAATTAAACATTATATTGAGAATATTACCACCTGAGAAGATTTTGTGTGGATTCCTTCTAAGAGAAAACTTCAGGATTTTTAGTCGTATTTCATCAAAGAGCTTTTCCCAAGATCGAGATTGGAATTTTACTGGAAGATTTACTAAGAAAATCTCGAAGCCAGCAACCAGTACATTAAAATGGGACTACTTTACACTCAACTCACTGATATTAAAGAAAATGGTAAGTTTGGAAGGTGTCGTACTAAAGAATTTGATAAGATTTAATGATTTTCAGGTTACGATTTCCAGAGAAAGACCAATATATCAAGGTAAAATACTCACCATAACCATTTATTGTGAGTTGTAAGTTGGTTGGATGTATACTGTCATTCGGAAACAATCCTTTTTACTAAGCCCTAAACTTGCTCAACTTTGAGTGGCTTGTTCAAGAAGCTAAATGCAACGCTGAATATGTAAACCTTGAATTCTAGTGGATGTAAACAAAGACTTAGTTGAAATCACGAATACACAGTGAAACTACATTATTCAAGGAGAGAATCATTTTTAACTGAATATTAATTTAATTCTTTCAGGCAGTTGTAGACAGGGAAGAATGTCTAACGTAATGAGTTTAACTACCGGAGATAGCGAATCACAGATGATTTTATGCAGTCCAGTAACAGACGTGAATGCTAAAACGACTTCCTCGTTTCAGATGAGGAATAATTTCACTTCATTAAGAATATATTACGTGCTCCCTTTAATGCCTACGAGAGATTTGGTAGGATCAACTCATCCCATGACTAATGATTCTCCACTATCCAATATATTTTCACGAGCTAGTATAAACCAATTAATTTCTCTGGGCTTGATTCTTGTTCTTTCAGTACGGTTACGGATTTATAACATTTTGGATTCTATTCCGTATTATCTGAACAGTTGGCAGACACATCATGGTTCACTATGCTCTTTACATGAATGCAAATTACCGTGATCACTCCAATACTAAATTACCTACATCTGCTCCCCGTTGCTGATTATGGATTGTTTTTCCTGAACAGGAAGTCCTAATTGTGGAGCCTGCATTGTTGACCTGAAAAACATCGCAGATATTAATGCAGAGGCCTAGAATGTTACTTACTTACTTACGCCAGTCACCCACAATCGAGCATAGGCCACCCACCAGTTTTCTCCAACCAACTCTGTCCTGGGTTTCCCTCTCCAGTTATCTCCAATTTTCGTTCGTTCTCATATCTTTTCTCTTCCTGATCTCCTCCTCCACCGGAATCTGGTTTGTTCTCTCCCACAGTTCGTTGTTGCTGATAGTGTCTGGTCAACGGATCCGAAGTATTTTGCGAAGACAACTGTTCATAAATGCTTGTATCTAGTGGATGGTGGCTTTCGTATTTCTCCAAGTTTCCGCTCCATGCAATAGAACTGTGTTAACATTTGTATTGAAAATCCTGATTTTGGTTTTGGTTGAAAGTTGTTTGGAGTTGATGTTAACTATCTTCTCAGGCACACCGTAGTGTCGAAGAAGCCTCCACAGTGGTTTTCCTATCCACGCTACCGAAAGCTTTCTCGTAGTCGATGAAGTTGATGTAGAGTGGTGAGTTCCATTCACTTGATTGTTCCACAATGATCCGTAATGTAGCAATTTGGTCAGTACACGATCAAACCCTCCGAAATCCGGCCTGTTGATCTCGAAGTTAGACGTCTACGAAGTCCTTCATTTTGTGTAACAATACTCTGTTGAAAACTTTGTCTGGTATTGAGAGAAGAGTGATGCCTCTGTAGTTCTCACACTTGCTGAGATCACCTTTCTTTGGTATTTTGATCAGGTATCCTTCTTTCCAATCTGATGGTACTTGTTCCTCATCCCAAATCTTCTTGAAGAGAATGTGAAATATTTTCGCAGTTGCTTCTACATCTGCTTTCATCGCCTCTGCTGGAATGTTTTCTGGTCCTGCTGCTTTGCCGCTCTTGATTTGTCTGATCGCCATACTGATCTCCTCAATCGTAGTTGCACCAATATTAATTGGGAGGTCCTTGGATGCTGCTTCGATGTTGGGTGTGTTCAGTGGAGCTGGTCGATTCAAGAGTTCCTTAAAGTGCTCTACCCACCTATTTCGCTGTTGTTCAGTGTTGCTGATTATTTTCCCTTCCTTGCTTTTCACTGGTCGTTCTGGTTCACAATAATTTCCAGCGAGCTTCTTTAGTGTTTCGTACAATTGTCTCATGTTTCCGTCCCTTGCAACCTTTCCCGCCGTCATTGCTAAGTCATCCACATATTTTCGTTTGTCAGCTCTGATGCTCTTCTTCACTTCCCTGTTTGCTTCTGTGTATGCTTGTGCGGTACGTTTCTCCGCTCTTGTTCGGCTGACATTCACTGCTGCCTTCCTGTTCCTGCTTTCTTCCATTTTTTCAAGAGTACCAATAGAGATCCATCCCTTGCGATGGTACTTCCTGTGGCCCATAACCTCGTGACATGTTGAAGTGATTGCCTTCTTGATCTCTTTCAAATTGTTCTCCATGACTGTTTCCTCTCCATTGGCTAGATTGTACAATGCTAGGAAGCTGCTGCTCAGCAATCTCTTGGATTCGTTAAGCCTTCCACCTTCCCGAAGAAAAGTCGTATTAATTTTCTGTGATGTTGTCTGCCACATTGTCCAGTGTTGTTTGAATTTCACTTTCATTTTAGCGACCAGCAAGTGGTGACCAGAGACTATATCAGCTCCTCTATTGATTCTCACGTCCTCGATCGTCCTTCTGAACTTTTATTGATACAGATATGGTCTATTTGATTGTGAGTAGTGTGATCCGGTGAAATACATGAAGCTTTATGTATGCGTCTGTGCGGTAATATTGTGCCACCGATGACCAGTTTGTTGAAGGCACATTGGCTTGCAAATATCTCACCGTTTTCGTTTCTTTCTCCCAGTCCATGTCGTCCCATGATGTCTTCATATCCAGTGTTGTCCATGCCAACCTGGGAATTTAGGTCTCCTATTAGAATCGTAAAATAATTTAATGAGCATCCGTAGACGACTGACTGCAGTATCTCGTAAAATTGAATTTTAACGTCTTCATTGTAGTCATTGGTAGTTGCATAGCATTGGATGATGTTCATTGTAATGTCCTCTTTCTTTTTTTGAAGGATGCTTTAATGATCCTGGGTCCATGAGATTCCCATCCTATCAGTGCCTTTTGCGCATGTTTGGACAGCATCAGTGCAACTCCCTGTGTATGTGAAGCATTTTTCTCTTCTTTTCATTTCTGTCGCAACTTAAAATAGTCTTCCAGTCTCCCACAATGTGCGAACGTTTCATGTACCTAAAAAATGGTTGCTCTGGTTGTCAGAAGAGGCATCGGCCCCGTGACTTCCGAGGGAACTCGGCTTTCATCATGCGACGTCATGATTCTTCTTGCAACTCCCAGAGCAGTGTTAAAATGGTTTGGATTATTTTTTCTGGTTAGCATTTTTTTGGCAAGTTAGATTTCGTCGGAATGGGGTCGCCAAAACCATGCCCAACCCTCCTCCTTTATCTGGGCTCGGGACCGGCATTAGCCCCGAAGGTTCTAGTGGCGGAGTTCCTAGAATGTTGCTAATGTTATATGGCCAACGGATCGTCAGTATAATAATAATAATAATAATAATAATAATATGTTGTGCAAACAATCGGTAATAAACACCTGTATGTTCCAGATAAATGTTTTCGCAATTCTTCAAGATTCCCACCCATGTAACTAAACTATCTCAGCGTTTGGAGTGAGACGCTTGATTTTTGTGTAGGTTAATAGTTATTTTGAGTTCCATATTATCTTCAATTGTGGAATTTGCTGCTCTAGCTTCGCTAATTCGTATCTTTACTTCAACTGCAAGTCGACCTTGCTAATTATTGATTCTGGCTAGATTTGCAAGGGTTTCTACATTTTCCGTCAAGTGTGAATTAATTGTGGCACATTGTGTAACACTGGAGGATCTTGTTTTTTTTCATGTGTATGTAAAGACCTGCAGCTGCAAAGGCTGCTGCTACGCTCGTCCTCTTCTCTTACATATGGTGTGGTGTGTGGAAGGGAAGAGCGAGATCGAAATCGTCCAACTGCATTCGACCTGTCCAATGTATTCCATGCTTCCGCCAGGTTTTGACCTCTTTATGAACCAGTTGATCACCGGAAGAAAGAGAAGAGGTGGGAGTTAGCAACCTTGCCTCATACCGGTCTTCATTTCGAACGATTTTCCGGGCCGTTCTCTGAGCATGGTCTCGCAGTTTATTCCATCGTGACAATTCCGTATGATGTTGACTATCTTCTCAGGCACAACATAGTGTCATCCTTTCCACATCATCAAACGCTTTCTCGCAGTCGATGAAGTTGATGTATAATGACGAATTCCGTTTAACTGACTTTTAGAGTAATACTCACTGCTGCGAGCAATTTCGTCGGTGGACGGTCTATCCTCACGGAGTCTAATATGTTTTTGTCGCATTTGAGCGCTTGCTAAATCGTTCTTTGGGTTTGACAACGCTCTATTGATGATTTATTCTGGAAAAGCAAAATATTTTCAGCTACGTCAGTTTTAACCGCCTCAGTTGGTATGTTGCTTAGCCCTGTTACTCTGAGTTCCTCAATTTTCAGGAGGTTATCACGGACAGATAAGTCCACAGGAGCTTCTTCGATGCTGTTCGCGTTCCGTAGAGTTGGTCTTTTCAAAAGTTCTTCACAATGCTCTACCCAACTGTTTCGTTGTTCTTGAATGTTAATGACTGCTTCGCCTTCCATGTTCTTATCTGGCGGTTCTGGTTTGCGGCGTGATTCTTCATTATATTATATGCGTATCTCATATCTGCTTCTTTCGTAGAAATTTTGGTCATCAATAGTAAATCTTCCACACACATTAATAATAGTTTATTCTCAAATAACAGCATGTTACAGGAAGTATGCCAATTTACAGGCGAAATCAAAATGTTAAGATTACTAACATATTTTTTGTAAAACATTGCTCGGTTACCGAAATATTTCACGAGATACTTTTTTCTTCATATAGATAGACAAATGTTCCCACATAAAATTATATATAATTTTCCAGACTCTTCAATGTACAATGTGAATAATTGACGCGAGTTACGATAAACTGCTAATGACTGCAAAATAATGAAAGATAAAGCCAGGTCTGCATATAACAATAATTGATGAGGTAAGTGTGCTAAGATCCCCTTGATATTCTTCATATCATAAGTTTATGGGCTCCTGGGTAAAGTAACCAAGTCTTCAGCGAATATCCAGACTAATATTAAAAGATCGGATTAAGGTGTTGAAAAAGAGAAATAAAGGGAACAGGGCAGGGAGCGGAACGGAAAATATTCAAACAATGAGTCAGCAGATTTTTTTGAAATTAAACACTTACTGTACACCTGAACGTATGTAAATCAATGAAGGAAATTCAGCAGTAAGTTAACGAATGGGTAATTAATCGTATGAATAGCAGAAATTCAGAAGAACCGAATTATTAGCAATAATGTTGATGTACAGAATATAATAATGAAACACAGTGATCTGACGCTTTTGTGATATTTTATTTATTCTTTTTCTTTTTAACTCTGTTGCTCAAGAAGTCATGTTTGAGCTCTTTTTTAATTCAATTGTCTAGATCTGCTTGTAATAGGAATTTCTCGGTAGGAAGATAAAACCAGTGCAAGGTTATGGACATGAGTCGTAGACGAAGTAAACAAGGAAAAGTAACACCAACATCACTGATTTGTTACATCTAGCTATATCGTAAGGAGCTGTAAGCAAACAATTGTTCTATCCAGACATCGGTGGATTGATGTTATCGCCTCACCGTCATGAATGCTGGTCAAAAAACACCATCCTCCCTCCTTTTGTGATGTTAGGCTCTCTTAAGTTTAATGGTAAGTTTTAAACTATGTATACGCTCGATTTTTTGTACACCTTGTTGGAATAAATTTCCCTACCAGCTCCACGTTACAAGCAAACCAGAAAACTTCGCCTTCTGTATTTAGGACAAAATATCCACGTAGCATATCTCACTAATGGTATAAATTGTAAGATATGTGTTAGTTATTAAGTAGTTTGGAGATAGGAATGATAGGGAGCTGAAGAAGAAAACAAGAGTCGAAATAGTGTCAAAAATTAATGAGTATAGCGGTAAATTGGTAAGCAGAAAAGGTCTTTGGATGTTAATTAATTTGGGAAATTAAAATTCAATAAACTTTTACTACTTGAACAAGAAGGAACTCACAGCGATACAGGAAGTTTGAGTGCCTTGTAACTGACAGTAGTTAAGCAGCATCTACAGACTTTTCAATGAATCTGTCCGCTAGAAATAAAAACTAACACCGCTATGAATATATGAAAATAATGATTGGATTTTAAATTTAGAGAAAAGTCACGGGTAGCGCCCTGAAGGCGTAACCTGTTACTGTAAGTAGGAGCAGGAAGATTTATCCATCATTTTGCGATACCTGTATGGACTGTAATGCAGGCATGATATGTTTATAGTCTGTAATTCGTTTCTAAGGTGTATCTAAATATTTGGTGGACCACAAAAGAGTGCCTCGGGACTTGGTGTGAGTTCCGGGAATAGTCGATAAATCCCTCTAGAGTCTAACAACAGCATTATTAGTTTCTTGAACTTAGTAATTCTGTCACAGATACGAATAGTAATTGGTAACCTGTTCCGCAAAGAAAGTATAACGCAATAATTTTTTGTGTTCTGCCGTTAATAGTGTATATGCGTTGTTTCAAAGTATGTAAGCAGTGTCGTGGTTCATAATTTAACCATTTGTTGGTGTAACATGACCTAGGCCTCAAGAACCCATGCTGCTCTGCGATGTATCCTAATTTGCTTGTTTGCTTCCAGATATTCAGCTTGTGCCTAGACTACCTCTGCTTTTGTTTGTCTGATATTGATTGCTGCCTTCTTGTTCTTCTTTTCTTAAATCCTATACAGAGTATTAACAGAGGTCCGTCCCAAGTGATGGTGTTCCGCCTGGACTAGAATCTCATGAGGTCTCGAGATTAATACTTCATCTCTGTCTTTATATCCGTTCCGCATGACAGTTTAAGTAATATAAAATGAATAAAGAATCTTGGAATGAAAGAAATTTTGGGAGTTATTAATATGTATGTTTAACTCCGCCTGGAAAGCATCCGGGGCCAGCTTCAGAGGAAATGCTGTTATATAATGACCAAGAACAAGAAAATGCCTCACGCACAGGGGGTCGCACTAATGCTGTCCAAACAAGCACAAAAGGCACTGACAGGATGGGAATCTCATGGACCCAGGATCATTAAAGCATACTTCAAAACAAAAAAAAGAGGGTAGTACAGCGAACGTCATCCAATGCTATGCACCTACCAATGACTACAATGAAGACGTTAAAGATCAATTCTACGAGAGGCTGCAGTCAATCGTCTACGGATGCTCATTAAATTATTTTACGATTCTAATAGGAGACCTAAATTCCCAGGTTGGCATGGACAACACTGGATATGAAGACATCATGGGACGACATGGACTGGGAGAAAGAAACGAAAACGGTGAGATATTTGCAAACCTATGTGCCTTCAACAAACCGGTCTTGGGTGGCACAATATCCCCACACAAAAGCATACACAAAGCTACATGTATTTCACCGGATCACACTACTCACAATCAAATAGACCATATCTGTATCAATAAAAGTTCAGAAGGACGATCGAGGACGTGAGAATCAATAGAGGAGCTGATATAGCCTCAGATCACCACTTACTGGTCGCTAAAACGAAAGTGAAATTCAAGAAACACTGGAAAATGTGGCAGAAAACATCACAGAAAATTAATACGACTTTTCTTCGGGAAGGTGGAAGGCTTAACGAATCCAAGAGATTGCTGAGCAGCAGCTTCCTAGCATTGTACAATCTTGCCAATGGAAATGAGGGTGAAGAACAATTACAAGAAGACCGGAAACAATGATTCCTCATGAAAATATCAAAGGCTATCTCTGCAAGTGTGAGAACTACAGAAGCATCACTCTTCTTTCAGTAGCAGGCAAAGTCTTCAACAGGGTATTGTTAAACAGAATGGAGGACTCCATAGACGCTCAATTCGAGATACAGGCTGTACCGACCCAATTGCAATATCATGGATAATTGTTGAAAAATCAGTTGAATGGAACTCACCGATTTACACCAAGTTCATTGACTACGAAAAACAATTTGACAGTGTGGATAGGACAACACTATGGAGGCTTATTCGACACAGCGTAGTACCTGAGAAGACTGTTAACATGTGACAAAACTCATTTGACGGATTAAACTGCTAAATCATGCATTAAGCAGGCGAAAAGCACCCGACTGCGTCAAAAAACCAGTCCCCATTTGGATACCTCAAGGTCAAAGGAAATGGGAAGTTCAAACAACACACTAGGCCGAGAAACGGGTACGGATATGAGAAGATTGAACAAAAAATTGGATAGACAAAGAAAAGGAAACCCAGGACAAAGTAGGTTGGAAGATGCTGTCGACGGCCTGTGCTACATCGTGGTAACAGGCGTAAGTAAGCGTAAGTAAGCAATCTTAACGTTCAGCAAGCAATATGTCAAGGACTAAAAGCTTTTTGACTAGTGCGGCTATTAGTGACTATTTGATGCTCAATATAGTTGACAGATACGGGATTACAGAGCATTAAAATCTCCGCTTGAATTCAAACTTCGTCATTTTATGACGTCTTTTATCAGAAGACACTGTTGTGATGTGCGTCCTATCCACTTCCAGCGCTTCTGTCCATTCCCTGTACCGCTGCGATTCAGTTTGTTCCCACACAGTAGGTTGTTGCTGATCGTGTCTGGCCAACGAATTCGAAGTATTTTGCGTAAACAACTGTTAAGGCATATTTGTATCTTCTGGATGATGGCTTTCGTAGTTCTCCAAGTTTCCGTCTTCATATTTGGATTAAAATATTTCTGATTTCAGTGTTTGTTGAGAGTTGTTTTGATTTCCAGATGTTCTTCGGTTGTAAATATGCAGACATTGCTTTGCTGATCCGTGCCTAGACAGCTGCATCAGATCCACCTTGATCGTCGATAATGCTGCCCAGATATGTAAGGGTTTTTACGTCCTGCAAGGCATCTCCATCAAGAGTGATTTTATTTACCCATGTAGTGTTGTATCGGAGAATCTTGCTTTTCCCTTTATCACTCTTGAGTCGTGCTGCTGGTTTCAACAGGGGCTCGCCCAATCTTTAGTGTCTGTCTTCAACCATATTTGTAATGACTTCAAAATATTATTCACACACTTTGCTAACCCCTTTCCAAAAAATCTACAACGGAGTGGAAATCTTCTCAAATGCCCTGGAGAGTTTATGTGGGGTGTGCAATAAAGATTGATGAGTAAAATGCAAGAATTTGTCGATCACAAAGTTAATTATCGAATGTTGTAGTAAGGCGAGTGGGGGTCGACTATGTACACCACTACAAACCAATTACTTTAATGCCTCTATTCGTTATCCCGTCGTGAGCCAAAGACAGGGAAGTAGATATAATCGAGATAGTGGAGTATATTTGCTGGTATCGAAGGAATACCGAAATCGTACCGCACATTATGAGCGAATATACAGTCAACAGCATAAACAGGATAGCAACCAAGGAAGTGGAAATTGAGTGTACAGAAGTATGAATAAATAAGTTTAGTTAAACCATCACTGGTATAATTGGTTATAATAATGAATGTTTTCATTTAACAAATCAAGTTTTCTTCATAAAAGTAGAGTCAGTACAATGTCATCAAATCAATATAGCTCCTTTAAATAGCACGCACAGTGGTAAACTTTATACGACATCAGTTACACAGGAGTAGTCCAAGAGAGTTTAGGAGAAAAACTTACACCGGGATAAATAGTTATTTATTCTGTTTTGATTGCCGAACCTTCTGCAGAACAAACTTTGTGAGATTTGAAAAGCTTTTTAAGGGCTGTTCATATTCCTGTCTCGAGTTTACAGTTTGAACGTTTAAAGGATTAAGTGTTAGAACATCAATAATAGACCATAATTCAAAGGTAGATTGTTCATAAAAATACTAGAACTGAAGAGATGAGAACAGCTCCTTCTGGACTTGATAAAAACGTTGAATACTTCCTTCAAGACATATTATCCTGCTAAAGTAGAGAAACGTACCAAACTAGGAAGTTGTTTGCCTAGTTGTTCATCCTGGCAGACTTGTTTCGTTGCGATGACCTTGAACAATGAGAATCCACACGCCAAACCATTAAACTAAATCGACGGAAGGCTATATATTCTATATAATGCACGAAATTTAACATGTAAGGATCGTGATAAATGGTAATTCTATATGGAATACACATAAATTTTTGCGTTATTTGTTTCAACTTACTGCAACTTATGACAAACGCTACATTGTTGGTTTTGAATCCGGACTCATTGATTAGCGCTGGGTCGTACTCCAAATTATTCATTATGGTACTCACAAACCATAGGATTGCTTACTCGGATTATAAATAATTCAGTATATTTGTGCTGGGTTATCGGTTGGTGAGATGACCCAATAAAACTCTATTTTCGTGCTAAATCCATACAATGTTTTTGTAAAGGAGTCGAAATCACCATGTATGATGTTACTAACCCGTTGTTTTTCTTTCTATTTCAGGGCGACCAAACAGAAACGCTTTGGAAGCTGAAGAACAAGCTCTGAGTGTTATGTACTTACAGGGTGACTCATAAGACTTTGATACATTAGCCACCCTTTTTCTGTAGAAACCGGCGTATTTTAATAGTCAAATAAAATAGTGTCGTGAACGTACTTCGTGTTCTCTCTTGGTGTGAATTGTTAAGCAAACTTTGTGTGTTGCAATTTTAGATCTGGTCCGCTGTTCAGTAACTGCTGATAACACGTGTTACATTATAACGGTGTTGAAATCACTTTGAATAACATTATTTGATTATATCTTCATTCTGTTGTAGGGCGATCGAAGATAGACGTTTCGGAAGTATAAGAGCTAGTTTTGCGTGCTCTAAACTTGCGAAATGACTCATAAGGCTGTTTTGTAAATAAGCCATTACTTGAGTACAAAACCCGTGGATTTTAATTTCCAAATAAAAGAGCTGTGTCTACAACTCGGAATTCTCTCTTAGTGTGAAATTCTTGGTTTACATCGTGTGTTGTGGTTTCAGGTCTTCTCCGCGCTTCAGTGACTGCTGTTTATACGTGTTACAGTGTGGTTTAGTTGCATACTGATAATAACGCTGTTATCAATCCCACTTCATTCATAATTATAGGATTGCCACAAGTTGGAAAGTTGACCAGTAGAAGTAAGAGCTTACTTGTAGACATCCCATTTTGTACATCACACATTACTTTTTTAAGTGCTTCTAAGTATATTTCATTTAAACGTGACTACTTCTGTTTGTTTGTGTTAGTTTCCTTTGTTTAACAATGGTTATTCGATGTTTTAGACCTCCTACTTAGATAAATTCACAACCTGAGAGACTGGATTGTGCTGTTGTGGTAGGCTACTAAATGTGCATCATTTTTACTCGATTCATTGCAGTGTACGAGACTTAAATTTCGTAGTCTTTCCTCATACATTACAAAGTTATTATCATAGTAAGTTGCTGACGATTGTAAACCATCGCCAATAAAGTAGATGAACAATCATTTCATTAATAAGAGTTTGTAGCGAGATACACCTAACTATTTATTCCTTAGTGTGGTTCTCTAAATGACTAGTACTGATTAGGCTCAGATGAAACCTTAAAACTGTTAATTAATAATGTAATTCATGTGAGGGGGATGAGATTTCCTGCTTACCGTTTGGTTGGTTCACAATCGGGTATTAGCAACTGAGCGGTATAGTTTGTGGTTACTGGCATTACGTAAGTGATCATCCTGTTTGATTCCCTATAGATTGAAAACATTATTTTTAGGTTTCGAATGATAGTCTGCAATTGATAGCTTAATAAATCAACAACCTCCACAACCATATAATGTAATTTATTTTTAAATGATGTTTCCAATTAAACATGAAAAAAATGAAGGCTTAGTTTGAGAATATTGGAGGCCGAACGTCTTTACACCGGACATAGACTATCTCAAGTAACAGTTGCTACTCTCACATTTATGTTTCACCGTTTTGTCAATTATAGTTATAAATTGAACCACATAAATCGACTTCACGTATATATCTTCCCATGTACCTGTTTGTTTGAGTGTATTTCTGTCAATTATCCGAAATCATTTATTACATTGCCGTTTTACCTTTCTCCATTCAACTTAGGATAGTACAGTCGATCTCGATTTAGTTGAGAAATCAGATAGACTTCGTGGTAAGTTTGTTCCAGTTTCTTAAAACTTACTCATAAGGAAGTCGTGACAGATTCTTACTTGATAGCATTCTAATCTTCGTTCTTCGGAAAGGATATAAATCAATATCAAAAGAAGGTGATTATATAGTTTGCATTACATTTGTAATATTGTTCATAGAATTCTAAAACATTTTCTGCATTGAAGTTCATGTTAAACGGATGTTTTAAAACTATCTACATTGCAAAGAGGTTAATCACTCAGTCAATCAATCGCAACGTAGAAATTCGTACGTAAGGATATCAGTTCATGTTGCCATACCAAATTAGCACAGAGACGCAATTGTCGATTCAAATCCCATAATGTTAGAGATAGTCGAAGAATTACTGCTAATGGAGAAAATTAGGATTTGAAGATAATATTCAAGAAGTATAATTCAGTGAGATAAGGTTAGAAAGACAAAGTTAGAGGTGTTGACGAATCCAGAAGATTAGGATTTAAGGGAACACAAAAAGTGGATACACCTGCGCCATTGCAAACGATTTTGAGCCAGGTCATTCAAAGTCTAAGCATCGGTGACTTTTGTCTTGCGGACCCCAACCAGGTAGCCTACATCTACCAACATGACCCAGTCCACTTGTCAGCGACTTCATAAATTTCTGCCATGTTTTAGTTTGGCCGCCCCTAGCTTTCTTCCAACCTACTCCTACATCACAAAACATAGCTCATCGAGGCAGTCGGTGGTTAGCCATACGCAGCACATGTCCCAACCACCTCAACTGATGAAGTTTCAATACTTCATCAAATGATCTGCCATCCTTACTTACTATTCCCTTCCTAATGGCAACATTACTTACTCGGGTGTCCCAGGATACAGGAGCAATACTTCGATGACACCTATGATCGATTACTAGTAATCTACGAGTATCTTCTACTCTTAACGGCTGTTTCGCAACAGTATAGGAGAACGGAGCGAACTGCTGCACAGTACACTCGGCCTTTGGTTAGCAAACGGATATCGCCTACGCCATAAATGACGCAAGTTGGCAAAAGCCAATCGAGCTTTCTGTATCCGTGCTGAAAAGGCGCCGCTGATACCAGCCATTGCCCCCCTGGGTGGTTAATAGTAAAGGTAGACTGAAATATGACGTAATAAACACATTTTAGTCACCGGATAATTATTCACTTCAAATGCACCATTAATTGATTGGATTATTACTTTATATTTCTAGTATGACGTTACGTCTATAGAAGCATTGCTCGTATATCCTCGGACAACCAAGTAGGAAACGGGTGCTAGGTAAGGATGGAAGGTCAATAGATGAAGTACTGAAATTTCATCAGTTGATGTATTTGGCACATGTGTTGCATATTCCTAACCACCGACTGCCTCATCGAGCTATATTTTGTGGTGTAGGAATAGGTTGGAAAAAAGCTAGGGGTAGCCAAACCAAAATATGGGAGAAATCTATGAAGTCCCTGATAAGTGGACTGGATCATGTTGGTAGATGTGGACTACCTGGTTGAGGTTCGTGAGATGATAGTGATCGCTGGTTAGAGACCTTGAATGACATGGCTGAAAACTGTTTGCAATAGCGCAGGTGCATTCATTCTTTGTGTTCTCTCAAATCCTGATCTTCTGAATTCCTCATAATCTCTATCTTTCTCCTTCTAAATTTATCTCACTGAACTATACTTCTAGAATCATATCTTCGCTCCCAATCTTCTCCATCAGCGCTAATCCTTCTACTATCTCTAGTACTATAGAATTTAAAGTGACAATTGCGTCTCTGTTCTAATGTGGTATGGCAACATGAACTGATGTACGTACGTAGGAAGTTCTACGTTGCTATTTATTCACTAATTGCTTGATTAATTACGTGTATAAATAGAAAATTTGTGTATCCTGGACACAGTAATTCAATCTTCTAAAATCTTCTCAGTGAGAATGAGCTAACTTCTTTTGAATAAAGCTATCAAACTACACATCATTTTAATGATCATTTGGTTAGTTATATCATCCGATCTTGACTAATTTCAAACAAAATTTTCCAGCTAATCTAAAACCGATGAGTTAATTTCATACTATCAGTAATATCAAGTTACCACACTTAGTAGGTACTTCTTTGTGGTAGTTTTTTTTTAACAGATTGATTACATAGTATGCTAATCTTGACATATCGTCTCTTCTGTTTTCTTTTTTTTTCAGTTATTCAGTTCTACAATCATTTTTCTTTCAAACCACCTCCTTTTTGTGTATGGTGTTGTGCAGCATTGTTATTTCCTCGACTAGAAGAGGAAAATCTCTCTGACAATGTTAATTTATCTAATAATTGCCAAAATCAATTGGAAAATTTGATTACAACAGGTGATGCCTTATTTTCAGGATTAAATGATTTATCTCGATGTAAACCATCCCTTTACAATTATTTGAAAGAAGCTAAACGTGTTGTAAGTTTTCGTATGTGCGCTTTATGGTTGTGTGGATCAATATGACTTTATTTTCGTGACATGATATCACATATATTTTGTCTAAAATTCAAATTGTTATTATTTTCATTAATAAAATACTTATCATAATGACAGACAGACAGTCACAGATACAACGTAGAACTTCATACGTACGTACATCAGTTCATGTTTCCATACCACATTAACACAGAGACGCAACTGCCAGTTCAAATCCCATAGTGGTAGCGATAATAGAAGTATTAGCAGTAATGGAGAAGATTAGGGTTCGAAGATATTATGCAGGAAGTATAATTCAGTGACATAAATTCGGGAAGATAAATATAAAGATAATGAGGAATTTAGAAAGTTAGAATTTGAAAGAGAAGTCAAAGATTGGATGCACCTGCGCCATTGCAAACGGTTTTGAGCCATGTCTTTCAAGGTCTCTAACCATTGGTGACCTTCGTCTCGCAGACCCTAACCAGATAGCCTACATCTACCAACATGACTCAGTCCACTTGTCAGTGACTTCATGGATTTCTGACATGTTTTAGTTTGGCCGCCCCTAACTTTCTTTCAACCTACTCCTACACCGCAGTAGATGATAGCTCGACGAGGCAGTCGGTGGTTAGGCATACGTAACACATGTCCCAACCACCTCAACTTCTTATAATGAAGACCGTCAACAGTGTTAACGATAAACCGATGTACAAATCATCTAACTGAAGTGTACTTTTTTATTGCTTATGAGTTTTAAGATTCATTTTGTTGACTGATAAAGATTTGTAGCTCAGGTGGATGATTGTGGTGGTGGTGTTTGGTTCTCTGAGCTGGATGTTTCGGTTGTGGAGTTTTCATTGTTCTTCTGCTGAGCAACATCATCAGCACAAACTTCAGATAGAAGTGAAGTGGAGAAATTTAAATGCTTCACTTCTATCTGAAGTTTGTGCTGATGATGTTGTTCAGAAGAACAATGAAAACTCCACAACCGAAACATCCAGCTCAGAGAACCAAACACCACCACCACAATCATCCACAGTTTACTTGACAAGTGTAAATGTACCTCTTGTAGTCTTAGTTCTGTAACAGGTTCATAAAGTCATTTCAAGAAGTTGAAATTGTTAAATTGCATTGTTCTCATTTGTATTTGTTAAAAAAAACTAGCAATTATATCGTTTCGTTATCCCATTGTAATCTGTAGTTCGATATTAATTTATTTGACTACTCATCATTTAATTAATTGACTTTAAGTATTCTCAGCTCTTTTGCTTGAGTTCATCACTGATGAGAATTGTTTTTAAACTTATGGTGCAATCACATAGCGCTTAAGCTACTACGGATCTAATTAAGATTGTTTGTTAGTGTACAAGATTGTCTAACTATTCATCCTTAATGTCCTTCTAGTGAGTTGGACTCGTTGGAGATTCTCTTTTCGTCACCGTATTCTCAACGTCTTCAAGGTTATCCATGGAATTTAATAAACAAACTTTACCATTTCATGTAATCTCTGGATAGTTTGTTAAATATACGAATGCTTTATAACGATTTCTAGTCTTTAGTAGTTTCATTGAAACTTGTCCCGACCGTAGCTGCTACCTTGACGTGGTGGTCGGGCTTGCCTATCGTGATGACCCAACCGAGCTATACTGGCTGGAACACATGTTCCTGCAGGTCCTACCATGCCAGGCAGGTCGATTGAAGAACCATGAGACCAAAAGCAACTACTCAAGGTCTGAGGGCGAAGTCGTATTGCTGATTGCAGAGGGGTGTGATAGCAGTAACGTGTTTCCCTTGGTCAACCAGCATCTGCAGCGATGCTGCCTTCTCACAAGAAAGGAAGGGTTAGAAAAGGTCGGCCCCAAAAGTGTCACACCTCACCCTACCTCACGGATTTCCGTCTCCGTCGGTAAGGGTGCCCACTAAGGGCTTTTAAACAAGGGCGGAGCTAATACTCAAAAAACCTTTCATCAAAAGGCCGTGCGTTACCGGCCTCAAGCAGTTGTCCCTTGGGCTCTGCGGTCACGCACCCGGGTCTCTAAGACCAACGCTAATCTACTTTCCTTTTCAGGTTCTTCAAGAAACAACCTTCCACGTTGTGGGCAGCCGGGAAGTGACAACCGCCCTCATACCCATAACAGTACACCAGACCTAATTGGTCAAAATCAAATCCTTCCTGACTGACAATGAAAGTTGTATCTTCTATTCAATCATGATGTGGCAGATGACTGTTTATCCTCCATCTATCAACTAAAAGTTCGGTAATAGTGAAGGAGAAAATAGATTATCTGAATTTAGATTATGGGTATTTAGATTTAGATTTTTACAAAGAAATACTCAATACTCACTAGTATGGTGTTAAAAGTGTAGATTAAATTAAAATCATTGCTATACCTTAAAGTTAAAAACAATCCACTTACAACGTAGTTTTTGATAATTGTAGAATATTTTGTCACCTGAATAAATTAATCCGACTAAAACATTCTTTTTTTTCTCTCACTATAATTTAGATTATGCATTTGTATTTGGAATCATTTTCATCAACAAGTGACTATACATTGTGTTTTTCCAAATTAAATCAATATTTTCCTGTATTTGATCCAGTGAGTTAGAGTTACACCATGTCATTATGATGTTAACTTGTTTAGTTGGTTATCATTTATTGTTTTACACATTTTTGAAACCATGAATCGATCAATGTTAAACCACCATTAGAAACCTGGAAGCACTGAAAGACGGCCGTTTCGTCCTGGTATGGGACTCCTCAGCAGTGCGCATCCACGACTCCTACACCCCGCAGGATTCGAAGCCAGTGCCTTCGGTATTGTGCGCGAATGCCTAACCATCGGACCACTGAGCCGGTATTGTTTTGTAGTAAGATGTTATTCATAGTCAGTCAATTAGTTATAACGTAGAACTTGGTACGTACTTACGTACATCTGTTCAAGTTGCCATACCGCATCAGTACAGAGATCTGATTGTCACGTTATCCAAAGTCTCTGACCACCGGTTATGATTTTCTCGTGTACCTCAACCTGGTAGTCTACATCTACCAACCTGGCTCATGGCTTTGTGCCATGTTTTGGTTTGGCTGCCCCTAGCTTTCTCCCAACCCACTCCTACTCCACAAAACATTGCTCTTCGAGTTCATTTGGGTACGAATTTACAATAATTTGGGTCCCTCTATGGGGTTGAAAAACACTGGTTCCAAACAGATGGTTCACATTGGTTTCAGGATGCTGAAGGAACAAATGGCGTTTGAACCTATTTTTGGCCACCGGATTCTCATGAGACAACATCTTGTGAAGTTGCTCTATCGTTTTGTATATCAAACTTTTTTGTTGAAAGCTCAGAGAGTATTGTAGTGAACGAGAACACAGGTGGCGCAACCGAATTGTATGTAACGAAAATTACACAGTTACTCAGTAAAATAGGAAAACCATATCGTAAATCGTTAATTTACAAAATAACAGTCCATCCTATCGAACTGGACTGTTCCTGTCGCCAAACATCAATCCATTGTCACTACTATTCATGCGTTTCATACAAATTTCATTGTTTTCTAACTCTTCCTATCTTGATCTTCTTCCCATCTTCGGCTACCAGACAATACGTTGACGCTGACGTCATATACTACTTATAAGCAGCTCGCGTCGTCTCAGCCTATTAACAAATTAAGTCATTTGTGTGGTGCGCAAATATTTTCATAAATCTTTTTAAAAATTTACCTAAATCACATGATTATTATGACAAGTTGTGTTTTTTTTCTTCTGTTGTTCTATGTGTAGTCTGAGAAAGTGCAAAAATTTCGATTTCGATTTTTAAAACTATTAGCTTCTGAACAAAAAGTAACTCGTTATTTAAATGAAAAATGGATTCCTGCTAGATCATATGTATTACAAAGATTACATCGTTTAGCATTGGATATTGTTGAACAACTTCCAGAAGTATTATTGGATAAAGTGAGTTGTAAATATCCATCCATTCAATTAGTTCTTTGTTCTTTGGCTCCCTTTTCACTACTTGAACAATAATTATAATCGGGAAATGTCCTATAGTCTTATGATATTTATATTTCACATATCTCTATCCAGATAAGTGTTAACATTGTTAGGTTATTCATCCAATATCCTAAGATGATTGTTTGTAAGTCGAATTCTATTGGTTGTCCTAATTATCAATGTCACCTACTTCAAATATTGTTTCCTATTCGACCTAACTGTATAAATACACATTATCTGAAATGTTTTATGACTCGGACCTCGTACTTCTGCATGTTTGTAGAATACAGTTTCTACTTCGTATCAAATCTACTTCTTTTACTTAATAGGGGTTTGAGACGCTTGGATTAGAGTAACCTGTCGTGTTGCCGGATCCTCGACCCTCGTTCTTGTTTTCCGACTAAGGTAAACTCGTAATAATTCAAGCATATCAATCGACATGTTAACGTGGATGGGTAACAAACATGATTGTATAGTATAGGGTCAATAGCAACACGGAGATTATTGATTTTTTTTTAGATTTATTGTTCAAAATTCCGTAGGATATTTTACAAAATATCAATCCATGTTTGAAATTATTTTCAAAGTAACCCGGGTTTTATTTTCACAAGTTCATCGACCTATATCAGTCGGTCGACAACAACAATAACAACATAGAACTTCGTACGTACGTACGTACATCAGTTCAAGTTGCCATACCACATTAGCACAGAGATACAATTGTCATTTCAAATCCCGTAATAGTAGGTGTAGTAGAAGTATTAGCAGTAATCGGAGGGATTAGGGTTAAAAGATATTATTCAAGAAGTAGAATCTAGTGAAATTTATTTGAGAAGAGACAGATACGGTTGGTGAAGAACTCTAAAGGTTAGGATTTGAGAGGACACAAAGAGTGTATGCAGCTGTGCCGTTGTAAACGATTTTAAGCCATGTCATTGAAGGTGTCTAACCGTCGATTATTATCATCTCACGGACCCCAACCAAGTTGTCTATATCTACCAACATGACTCAGTCCAGTTGTCAGTGACTTCATGGATTTGTGTCATGTTTTGGTTTGGCCGCCAATAGCTTTCTTCCAGCCTACTCCTACAACTTGATTTAAATTATTTGTTTTAAATATTCGTTGCTTGATCTCAACAAGTTCCATACTGTTAATGCTATTACTTACTCACGCCTGTTATCCCTAATGGAACATAAGCTACCAACCAACATTGTTACGGGTGTATGAGGGCGGTTGTCACTTCCCGGCTGCCCACACCGTGGAAGGTTGTTTCTTGAGGGACCTGAAAAGGAAGACGGATTAGTGTTGGTGCGTGACCGCAGAGCCCAAGGGACAACTGCTTCAGGCCGGTCACGCACGGCCTTTTTATGAAAGGTATTTAGAGGATTAGCTCCGTTCTTAAAGGCCCAGTGGGCACCCTTACCGCCGGAGACGGAAATCCTTGAGTTAGGGGAGCTGTGACATTTTTAGGGCCGACATTTTCTAACCCTTCCTTCCTTGTGAGAAGGCAGCATCGCTGCAGATGCTGGTTGTCCGAGGGAAACACCTTACTGCTGTCACACCCCTCTTCAATCAGTCAGCAGTACGACTTCGCCCTCAGACCTTGAGTAGCTGCTTTTAGTCTCACCGTTCTCCAATCGACCTGCCTGGCATGGTAGCACCTACAGTAACATATGTTCCAACCAATATAGCTCGGTTGTGTCATCACGATAGTCAAGCCCGACCATCACGTCAAGGTAGCAGCTACGGTCGAGTACTGGGAACTGGACGCAATCCCATCCGACTGGTCTCAATCACTGATTGTCCCAATCTATAAGAAAGGACAAAAGTCTTCTTGTGACAATCACAGGGGAATCAGTCTAACTAATATAGTATCTAAAATATTGGCCTCAATAATACTTCGACGCTTAACGATAGCTCGGGAAGAGCAGACTAGAGAAAACCAAGCTGGTTTTCGACCTGGACGTGGCTGTATAGACCACGTCTTCACACTACGACAGGTCCTGGAACATAGACACACATTTAGGCGTCCTACCATAGTTGTTTTCCTAGACCTTAAGGCGGCATTTGACTCAGTGGATCGTGAGGTTCTGTGGCAGTGTCTGTTATTGCAAGGTGTACCAAAGAAGTACATTAACCTTATACAAGCCCTCTACTCAAACACCACTGGTCGAGTGAGGGCTTATGGCGAACTGTCACCGGAATTCTCTACATCAAGTGGTGTCCGTCAGGGATGCCTTTCTCCATTCTTGTTTAATTTTACCATAGACTTGCTCCTAGAAATAACCTTATCCTTGTCTGAATTTTCTGGAGTAGACCTTTTACCAGGTGGCTCGCTTATTGACTTAGAATATGCCGATGACATAGTCCTACTTGGTGAAGACGCTGACAAAATGCAGAGTCTTCTGACCACCCTGAGTAACAATGCGAGCGTGTTTGGGATGCGGTTTTCCCCCTCTAAATGCAAAATGTTGCTTCAAGATTGGGTTGCATCGGCACCTGAACTAGTGATAGGGAGTGAATTAGTTGAGCGTGTGGACCGCTTCACTTATCTTGGGAGTCTCATCAGTGCTGACGGTCTGGTGACTGACGAAATCTCAGCACAGATGCAGAAGGCTGGATTGGCCTTTGCCAACCTGCGTCACTTATGGCGTAGGCGTGATATCTGTTCTCTAATCAAAGGACGAGTGTACTGTGCAGCAGTTCGCTCCGTTCTCCTATATGGCTGTGAAACATGGCCAGTGAGAGTAGAAGATATTCGTAGGTTACTGGTTTTTGATCATAAGTGTCTTCGAATAATCGACCATTTTACCACATGTTGTATAATTTGTTTTTCAAATTCTATTTTCTCATTGGACAAACAAAGAAGCAAACCTAATTCTAATATTCTTTGATTTTTCTATCTATCTTCTAGGTTGGATCAAGTGAATGGATTTATAATGATGCAATATTATTACAATTAAATACATTATTAGCTTTAATGATACATCAACAGTTACTGTATAATAAATCTGCATGCACAGAGAAAGATATTGCAGAGATTTTGCACACTTACTATTCTCATTCATGTCCATCGCAATTATTATCATGAAATGTTAATGCATTTTTCCCCTATTCATATTATGTAAATATTTTGAAAAAAGAGTTGTATTTTAGTAATTTTTGACATTTGTTTTTGCGAAAATAGAACAGATTTTTCTAATTTTTTTCTGAATTATTTTTATGGAAATCTATCTGTTGTAATGGCTTGCTTAAATGATTCACAGCTAATTCCTATTGCTTAGTATTCTCTGACCACACAATACACTGGACAAGTTCTAAAGAATCAAAAACACAGTTGAACAGGAAAAGATTATATTCCAAATAGCAAGGCTAGATGGAAATAAGAAGCCAAGGGTGATGGCGAAGGCAAAAAAAGATACAACGTTAGTTCATTTATAGCATTTACATGAGAAGCTTCTGGATAGAAATTCACGTGATCGACTAGCACTGACCGGATTAGATTGGGTAGGAAATTAGCCAATCAGCGCGCAGCGACGTAGTCGCGCTTTAATTCAATCTATGTCCCACTAACACCTCCCCTTTGAGCAGATTCGTAGGATCTGGTGCTAGAGTCCAACTGCAACCTGGGTGCCTTGCCACCCGTACTCTTACGAGCCGCCTGCTTTGTAGGAGCCATATCTTTAAACAACCGTCGATTGGGCTGCTTCCCCACCGATAAGTTTTGTTGAGGCTCATGAACAGCATATGGTATGGGGCGTCTCGGACGTGATAGAGGTTTGACATCTGCTTTCACTGGTAGGTGCGCTTTCATATTCTTACAGCGGCCAAGGCTATTATGAAAAACAGACTGATTTCCTCTTCGGTTTATCTTGTAACCTTTCACCTGTATTCTTTATAAGTATCAGGCTGACCAATGATGAACACGATTCGCTGCACACACTGTTAATCGGTAAATCCAATATTCCCAGTTTTTCTAGCATATATAGACCAAGAAGATCAAGGTTTGGCTGTCCTATCAGTTAGCATAATCCTTTATATTTTCTTCCATTGAAGGGAAATTCACCAACCAGTTTTAACACACCACCTGAAGCGCTTTTAGCTGTTTTCTTAGATGGCTTCATTGTCGGTTTTTCCAGCAAGTTATACGTTTCTCTAGACATTAAGTTGATATATGATGCCGTGTCGATTTGAAAACGAGTTGATGCACCGTTCATCTGGATAGTAACATGCTTTCTCCGAACGTCATAGTCTGTTAGAAAAGCAACTACCATAGAAAGTGACTTTGACTCGGCTAATTTCACCACATGTTGAGTACGTTTATGCTTCTTCCTGGGTTGAGACGTACGATTTGGTTGACAATGGCCTTCTTTATGTTCACGTTTGTTGCACATCTGACATTTATGTTTTTTAAATGGACAGAATCGTACGTAATGCCAATCACCACATAACCAACACTATCTGTTATGACAAGAAAATAAATTTTAAAACTGTTGCAATTCTCTCTTTGTTACCACCCACCCTCCTAATGCTTTGTATTCTAGGACACCAATTCACTCGAGACGTTCTCCGAAAATCAAAACACGGTTGAACAGGAAAAGAGATTATATTCCGATAACAAGGTTAGATGGAAGACAGAAGTCCAAAACATTAGTATACTTATAGTTTTCTTACATGAGAAGATTGGGTTGCATCGGCACCTGAACTAGTGATAGGGAGTAAACTAGTTGAGCGTGTCGCCCGCTTTACTTATCTGAGGAATCTCATTATTGCCGATGGCCTGGTGACTGACGAAATCTGTGCTCGGATACCTGGTTTGGGTCCGCGTGATGATAATAATCGATGGTTAGAGACCCTGGATGACGTGGCTCAAAACTGCTCTGTCTTACTTTATGGCTGTGAAACATGACCAGTGAGAGTAGAAGATATTCGTAGGTTACTGGTTTTCGATCATAGGTGTCTTCGAAGCATTGCTCGTATATCGTGGGACACCCGAGTGAGCAACGCTGTTATTAGGAATCGGGTGCTAGGTAAGAATGGCAGATCAATAGATGAAGTAATGAAACTTCATCAGTTGATGAGATGATAATAATCGATGGTTAGAGACCTTGAATGACGTGACTCAAAATCGTTCGCAACGGCGCCGGTGCATTTATTCTTTGTGTTCTCTCAAATCCCAATCTTCTAGGTTCTTCAACCCCTCTAGTTTTGACTTTCTAAACTTTCTCACTGAATCATACTTCTTGAATAATATCTTATAATCACAACCTCTGATTACTTCTAATACCCTTACTACCTCTTGTACTATTGAATTTGAATTGACAATTATATCTCTGTGCTGATGTGGTATGGCAACATGAACTGATGTACGTGCGTACAAAGTTCAACGTTGCATCTGACTTACATGAGAAGATTCTAGAATGTTCCCTCAGTATCGACTATCGTTGATTGGATACGAAAGAGCCAATCAGCGCGCAACAACGCAATCATGCTTTAATCCAATTTATTTCCTACTAACAACAACCATGAAGAATGAAAAATAAAACATGTATTTTGTACAAAGCTAACTAAATGCGTAGATTTTTTATTCCCATAACGATGTGATATGCGTCAAACGATTACTTGTTCACCTTAGTCAGTAAACGAGAGCGAATACAAATGGTCTAGTGACACGATAGGCTAAGTAGAGAATGAAGTCTTGATAAGATGTAGAAAGTTGCGCCCAGAAAATATGAGATTGACAAGCACACAAATTGAGTTTATTTATACATGATAGGAACGTCCTTGGGAGAGCCACAGAAACAGCGTACTAAAATAATACATCAACCAATAACAGTCAAGGATTTTCCAGGTGGGGGAATGTAATCTCAAGGTCAACTGACTGATCAGCCCACGCTCGAAAACATAAGATCCAAAGTTAGGACCTTTATCAAGTGAGTTCTGGGCATCTAACTTCCCCAACCCTATGTTCAGGTTTCAACCTCCAAGTCCAATTTAATACAGATAATGAATATCGGCTTCCGTGTAATTTCAGTCTAATTCCCAAAAAAAACAGTAAAATGAAAGCCTGAACATCGAGTCCAAGCCAGGTCTAAATGCTCTGTTGACTTGATCCTTGTTTTGTGCATTAGTTTTCCTTGTAAAACATAGATTCCACCGGTAAATTTTATTTTCTAGACCAACCAACCAACTTCATGTGGTTAGATATGGTTCAATTTATTGGTTTCGCGATGTTGTAATATATTAAACAATAGTTTTTAATACGGTGCTTATAATTTGTGGTTTTTTTCATATGATTGATTGTAGAAAGTATGCTATAAGTCAGGAGAATGTATATATCATGAAAACCGTTTTTTAAGATTTTGGTCATTTTCAATTGTCTCGTTTCTGTAGGTTTTTTTAATTAGTATGATTTATTCCAAAGCCATTTATATACCACCCAGACGAGGAAAAACTATGAGCCTGCAAATAATTTTTTGATTGTTTAGATTCCACAGGTTTATAACATATTTGTGATATTTTGAAAGACTTGTTTCATTCTCGGTGCTTTCATATTTGCCTATCAGTGTCATTGTAACCTCATGAATTGCTTTGTATCCAATATCTTTTTCACGAGCTAGTGTAAACCAATTTGATTTCTTCGCGCTCGATTCTTGTTCTTTCGGTACGGTTCTAGGTGTTCGGTAATGTCCAATGGATGATTCAAACATGTGCCTACGTGGATGTAAATACCGTGTTTAGACGCGTATTCAATTACGCTGTCTTTATTGCTGGTCAATCTAATATACACTAAGTTTACTTAGCGAATTCTCTATTGGAATAAATCATTTTCGAACGCAATTCATGTGATTTACTCTAAGGATATGAATAGTGTTGACTAGGCTCATTTATAATCAGACAATCTTGATTACGAAATTACTGTTCCAGTGAGTTTTGTATAAGCGAACTCAGTGTTTTGAAGTAAAGGCATTTGTTCTCTTGAAATTTTATAGAGGCACTTTTTCCTAGATTAGTGCATTTTCATATGACATTGACTGATCCTTATCAAAGGCTCTGTAAAATGAGAACATTTATGTATGCACTTCTGAAAGTCTACCAATAAGCAGTTTCCTGGAGAAGCCTATTATTTTGTCGCTACCTTCTTACGTCTTCCATTAGTGGTTGGTTCACAGTTATAAGATTTATCACAGCCTTAAACGATATTTTATTCCGTGCTAGACAATTGATTTTTGTCATTCCCCAGCTACTAAACTGCCATCGGTTTTTAACTAGTGGAAAGTTCGCTATAAGTCAGGAGACAGCACATGCCATGATATCATTGTTTTCAGATTTGTCTATCACTACCTTGTGACCTCATGAATTACTTGGAAGTGATTCAAACAATATGGTTGTATTTTGTTCTGGAATGGGCTCTGAAAACTTAGTATCCTTGTTGATGTTTAGTCGATAAATGATTACTTACTTACACCTGTTTCACCCAATGGGGCATAGACCGCCGACCAGCATTCCCTAACCTACTCTGTCCTGTGCTTCTCTTTCCAGTTCTGTCCTATTTCCGTTCATTCTTTTCATATCTTTCGCTATTTCTTGACCTTCCTCTTTCCTGTTGGCCTTGAGGATCACAGGTGAGGGTTTGTCTTGTTGCGCAGTCGGGTGCTTTTCTCAGTGTGTTCTATCCAATTCAGCGCCTCTTTATTTCGTTCTCCTCTGGAAGTTGGTATATTGCTGATGGTGTCTGGCTAACGAATCCGAAGTATTTTACGTAGACAACTGTTAATAAATACCTGTATCTTTTATATGATGGCTTTGGTAGTTCTCCATACAGTAGATCTGTCTTGACAGTTGTATTGAAAATTCTAGTTTTGGTGTTGGCTGATACTTGTTTGGAGTTCCAGATGTTTTCACTTGTAGAAATGCAGTCTTTTCTTTGCCAATCTGCGCCCTCACATCTGCATCAGATCAACCCCTGCTCATCAATGATGCTGCCCAGATATGTATGGCATGGTGCGTCATCCAAGGCATCTCCATCAATAGTGATTCGGTTAACGCATGTAATGTTGGAGCGGAGATTATCGCTTTCCCCATTATGTATGTTGAGACATGCTGCAGCTACACTGGTCGTATTCGCTTGCATTTGTTGTTGCGTGTGCGATAGGAGAGTCAGGTCATCTGAGAAGTCCAGCTGCGTCCTAACTGTCCATTGGATACC